AAGCTTGAGATCATAGACGAATATTTTACTGTATGAGACCTCTCAAGACTGAAAGTCGTTAAGAATATCCTGTCCAAATATTTTCCAGAGTTTTTGGTGGGGGAGGGGCAACTCCCGGGGTGAAATTGAACAGGATTGTCCCCGATTGTGCTCAAACAAGACCTGAAGATTTGGCCTTACTTGAGAAGAGGAAAGGAAAAGAAACTATTGAGAATATCTCAGAGGGATGAAAAAAAAGGAAAAGAAAAGAGAGGAGACCAGACCAGACCAGACGGGAAGAGAAAAGAAAGATTCAAGAAAAGTGGGTCAACTGGATATCACTACATTGTACATAACTAACAACATCTAACTAACTAGTTACAGAGTAGTTAATGTATACCTACAATAAGAATATCAGGTATAAAAAAAAAAAAAAGGTATAGACACTACGTCAAGGTATCATAGGATATGGACAAATTTGTATGATACTCGAATGTCCATAGGCACCAACTGTTTGGGCATAAAACTTGGACATTCAGATCTTGGCACATGATAATGCAGCGAGCAAAACACAAAAAAAAAAAAAAAAAAAAAAGCCAACATACGGAAAAAAAAAAAGAAGAAAAGAGAGGGGGAAATAAGAAACAGGTGATAGCTTAAACACGGCGACAAGGGAGATCATGGGCAAAAGACAAAAGGGTAGTAAGTGATACAGCAACTAACAACACTTGCCCCCAGAGTTGCCATTGGGACCGGAACCTTGCTGGTCTATATTAACGCCCTGAGAACCAGATTGTTCAGTCTTGGAAGTGTCCATCCCTTTCTTGATATCCGATGCAAGACTGTAAAACGCCTTCTCAATGTTGATGTTGTTCTTTGCCGAAACCTCGAGGAAGGGAATACCGAGTTCATCAGCGAGCTGCTGACCTTGTTCGGTAGAGACTGCCCTTTTTTCTTCCCAGTCACACTTATTTCCAATGAGGATCTTGTGTACACCTTCACTAGCATGTTGCTCAACGTTTGAAAACCAGGTCCGAATGTCTAGAAGAAAGAAGAAGAGAAAAAAAAGTCAGACACATCTAGCAGATTAGAAGAGGGGAAAAGAAGTCATACTTTGGAATGATCGTTCATCTGTCACGTCATAGACCAGCAGAATGCCCATGGCACCTCGGTAGTATGCCGTCGTGATAGTGCGAAAGCGCTCCTGACCTGCAGTGTCCCAGATTTGCAACTTCACCCTCTTGCCGTCCAACTCGATCGTACGAATTTTGAAGTCAATCCCGATTGTGGTGATGAATGATGGGGTAAAGGAGTCTTCGCTGAATCGCAACAGACAACATGATTTACCCACGCCCGAGTCCCCGATCAACAACAGTTTGATCTATGACAAAGTTAACACTGCCAGGGCTTTGTGGGGGAAAGTCGTTAGGGTTTGAAGGGCCATGAATACTAACCAGGAAATCATAATTCCGTGTTCCAGCCATTATGGATTATGGCGATATTGGGGTAGAAATTAAGCGCGGAAGGCAGTAGCACCGTGGAAGATGGATAGGAGACCGAGGTGATCCGGAGATTCGTCAAATGAGGGTGACAAAGGGATTTTGTTTTAGTGTTTTGAATGAAGTGAGTTGGGGGTAAAGCGGGAGAGGTAGATGCTGCTGTAGGATGAATCGGGGGTAGTTTAGGTTGATGGTTTTCCCAACGCCGAGGACTTATCAGGAGCTTTGTCAAATGCTGGAACCGGTCCGCCCAAGCTGATAAAAAGGCGGTAATATGAAGGGATGTTAGACTTCAAGCAAAGATCCACAATCAAGCATACATGAGCTAAAGATTTTGGGATGTTTTATGGGAAAAGGAGGTAGAACGATGCACCACCTACGGAGTGGAGGTGATGACGGTACGGTAAGGAGGATCTCGGTATATTATGTAAGCAACGTCGGGATAACACCTAACTACCAACTGACTACAGGCCTGGACCTACTAACTAACTATATTGATTATATTGATTAATCTTGATATTTTGACATAAATTTAGAGCAGGCATCAACGATTTGCGGACATATCTATAATATTGAATGTGTGCTGACACGTAGTATATCAGGTATTTCCTACAAAGTACCTATTGGAAATACGCCCATCTCATCCTTTCGATCACGCGAAGTTGCTTGTCCACTCCATTTTGAACATTCAAGAGATCCCGGATGTCTTCTCGGAACTCTTCGAACTGCATGCTTCCAGAAATTATCTTCATGTGTTGAAGGAGAGCCTCTGCCTCACATATCAATTGCCCAGAGTCCTTGTAAGCGACAGTCCCATTGGATAAAACCGCAGAAGAGGTCAAAATGCGGGCCACATTCCTGCACGTAAAGTATCAGCATTAGCCTTACGAATAGTTTTACACCATGAGAGCATCAAGCATCATACCGCAATCCACGTCTCAGTTCATATCGCTGCTTGCCCTTTCGCATTCCTCGTCGGCTGCCGAGGAGACCACCTAGCCACCTCATGGTTGCAAATGAAACCAAGATCCCAGGAGTTAACCCAACAAATCTAAACGATATTAATGGCTAGAAAAGGAAAAACAAAAAGGTTAGAGGGGGAGGAGGAAAGCTGACATACCCAAATACAAGCTCCTGGCTCTTCAGCAAAGCATCGATACCACTGATGGCAATTTCCACGTCGACTTTTGTCTTCTGGATCTGGATCAAAAGGGCACGGATGAGATCGCCTCTAACGGTTCCAAGGAATGGTGACCGCAGGTCCCTTTCATATGCTTTTAGAACGGGAGTCAAATCACCCTCCTTAACAGAATTAACGATGGCGGTGGTATCTGCCACCACACCCTGGTGAAGATCCGGGCGATCGCGGATGAAATCCACTACCATTCTCTCTAGACTCTCCCGATCAGCCAGCAGGCTGTTCTTGCTCATTATCGCAATCTCGCTTTTTTCATCATGTCTGATTGTGCCAATGAGTTTTCGGATTGGGTCCACTACCCAATTACCCCAGAAATCGATAGTGGTGGAGCCAATATCGACAATCGACTGGATGATTTCCTCTTGTCGGTTGGCCAAAAATCTCATTGATGCACTTCCTGAAAGGAGAGCGACTGAGACTGGTAACCAATAGCGAACTATGGATGAAGGGCGCCCGTGACGACGAATAAATAATGACATTGAAGTGGTATGGTGCGGCAACTTCTTTCGAAGAACATGCACAAGTCGCTCGATTAAGTCCAAAGGCTTATGCACGGGATTCCCTCCTGGTGTGTGGATTCCAATGTTGTCAATATCCCTTTCCAGAGTGGCGAAGACCCCCTGTTCCAATTCGTCAGTGCTAGGCTCAAGTGCTATATGATGAAAAATGGCTTCGATTAGAACCACTGCTCTGTGAACAGCATCACACCATTGGGTGTTGATAGTCCCAGCGTTTAAACTCGTGAAGTCATTCGCTTCAAAAATACGGCATCCCTCCATCAGAAGACCAAGGCTGCTGGTATGGAGGTCTTTCATTTTCAGGAGCTCGTCTCGTTTCTGTCTCATTTCGGTGCGGGATGATCTAATTGGGGATAGAAAATGCGCGTGTATGGAGTGTCCTCCGAGTCTCCAGGCACTTTGGCGGGCAATCTGGTAAAATTGGGACCACCTGGCAGTGATGGATGGGGCTGCTTGACCAGTTTGAGCGACATATGCATCCTTCGTCCACCGGCAGAATTGCACTGGGGATTTCTGAACGGTATACAAACCACTATACCAGATAGACCCTAGCATCTCACCCCAGTAATAGGTCTCATCGTGAAGTTGAAGTGTTTGATCCAGAAGGGTGTTCATGATCAATCCCGATGCCTGAATGGCAGCCTTTGCAGTCACTATCCATACATGATCTGAGAGTTGTGCACTATTTCCTTCATGAATAGTGGTCTGTACTTGGAGGCGAGAGAAAGTACCCGAAAGTAAATCTGCCAACCGACTGGGAGGTAGAAGGGGTTGGGTCTTGGAAGTCACCGAAATGGAGTTGATGAGATCTTGCAATTGGCCAATTGACTCAAGCGATTCATTGGATAAATCTGTATCCTCTAGTCTCTGTGGGCTTGAGATATGTTGTTGAAGGCGATCAAGCTGGGTGTTGACGCCACAAACAGTTCTGTAGGGGAGAGAAAAAAACAATTTGAGTACAATTTTCCTTTTTTTTTGGGAAATTTTATCACACTCACTCTCGTATAACAGACATCCCCAGGATTATCCAATGGGTATGAGGTACAGCTACCCTCAAAAGCCGACCATAACACCTAGAGAGGTATGGGATAGTATAACTAGTGGAGGGAATAACAATTGAAGGATTAAAGTTGATGTCGTCATGCAGAAGGGCAAACTATGCAAACTATGTAAACTATGTAAACTATGCAACCCTATCAATAAAATGGATCCAACTTATCCAACTTGTGCAAACTATGCAAACTGTACTTCAGCCTACACGGTAGAGAACATACCGAGTCACGGGGTCATAAGATTACTTTATTCCTCTTTATTCCTCTTTATTCCTCTTTATTCCTCTTTATTCCTCTACTTTATTGTTTTATTATATTCCGTTGAACACAATCTGGAAAATAAATAAATAAGAAACATCGTAAGATGTATGTATACAATAGTCTTAGTAAATCTGGATTTTTCACTGGAGTTGCCCCCAGGGAAATCAACCAAACAAAAACCCGCGAAATCCGCATTACCTGATTTTATGCAGGTGGGGTGATCTCGGATGGGGATCGGCTTGCCAGTGGCCTTACCCCTACGTTCAGGGGAAAAAAAAAAAAAGATCTCGCCACGTCGGGATTGGACTGTTCCATTTGAATCTCTTGATCTTTTTCTCCCCTTTTTCCCTTTAATAACCCTTTGAATACAATCAACTTCGGCCTTTAGCTTTTTGCTTTCACGTCTTATTTTCCTCTTCATCATTTTCTCTTTCTTCTTTCTGAACTTCCTTATATCTACTTTTCCTTAAGAGGAAAGAGAACAACCTTCACAATGTATGGTGATCCATGTCCTTTTTGCCTGTTATAGTTATCTAACATCCGATATAGGAATTCAACGATCTTGTCCTCAGGGACATACTGGGGCCAATTCGAGGAGATTGGCAAGTACAATACCGAGCTGAATGTGGCAGAGAGGTTGTGGGCAGCCTGGTATGCTTGGATGCAGAACGATGTCCTGGCCACTGGAATCATGTCATTCGCCATGCATGAACTGGTCTACTTCGGTCGCTCGCTGCCTTGGATTTTCATTGACACATTGGGAATGTTCAATCGCTACAAGATTCAGGGTGTAAGTAGCAGCACCATTCAGTTCATTTGCTCGTCTCTAATACTATACTATACAGAACAAGATCCCATCGCTACGGGAACAATGGGATTGCGCCAAGTTCGTGCTCCTGAGTCATTTCACCGTCGAACTCCCCCAGATCTGGTAAGACATGAGAATGAATCTGTTTCTAGATTCCGGAATTTTCGAGGTTCTAACGTATTTTAGGCTCTTCCACCCCTTGGCACAATTTTGTGGACTCTCAACTTCGATCCCATTCCCGACCCTTTGGACCATGGCATATCAGATTGCAATCTTCTTTGTGATGGAGGATACCTGGCATTACTTCTCCCACCGTGCTCTTCATTGGGGTCCCCTCTACAAGGCCATTCACAAAATCCACCACCAGTACTCGGCCCCTTTTGGCTTGGCTGCTGAATATGCCTCACCGATTGAAGTGATGCTCCTGGGCTTCGGAACTGTCGGGTGCCCGATTGTGTGGTGTGCGATGACAGGTGAACTCCACATTCTGACCATGTACATCTGGATCGTCTTGCGCTTGTTCCAGGCCATTGATGCTCACAGTGGTTATGAATTCCCGTGGAGCCTTCACCATTTCCTTCCCTTCTGGGCTGGCGCTGATCACCACGATCTCCACCATGAGAAGTTCATCGGCAACTATGCCAGCAGCTTCCGGTGGTGGGATTATGTCCTTGACACCGAGTACACCCCAGATGCGCTGAAGCGCCGAAGGGAAAACAAGGCCAAGGTTTCGAAGGCCCAGTAAGCGGTTTGCATGTTTACCTTTCTTCGTTCACTTTATGCTTTCCTCTTCAAATCCCTATTCGGGTATTTCTCTACTATGTTCGGTCCTGGGTATTGTCCAGTGAGCGTGTAGTTTCTCATGATACTTACTATCTTCGGGATATTAATGTGATAATGTATTTAATATTTCAGTATGCCTCGTGATAGAATGAACCATTTTAGGTTTCCGATAGAACCACTATCAATAATACATTTCAACTATCCAACGATGGTTAACCAAGGCGACGTCCTCATATTATCGTGGGGTAGAATGATGAGAATTTACACCTTCCAATCGCAAACCATAGCTGTCACGCAGGTTTTGCTACTTGGGCTAGGGCTTAAGCAGCAGATTAGTATAATGGTATACAAAGTCAAAGTCCAAGGTTGAGTACATGGTGGAAACAGGGCGTCATACCTAGAAAATCTTAGGACAACTAGTGTTAGCTGGAACCACTTGTTCCGTACCGCTAGTTATTATTCTCTGACCGAATTCAGAAACTACTGGTCAGTGGGAAATGACTTGCTCTATACCGATATTTCCCTTCGCGTAGTTAGGGTTTATAGGATCGATCTACTTATTAACCTACTATGTTAGTATTTTATACCAGAAGGAAAAGAGTGCACTTCAACGAGAATACTAAATGTAGAACACTATTGGCATAGCAAAAAGTCTACTGGCACAGTGCACTAAACCCTTTTGGTCCTAGCCTTCTTGGCACTCATTTTTCGGCCTAGGTGTTATTTATTATGGTATCACCACAGTAAAAAACATAGCCCCTGAATTACCCCAGCCACATAGTGCTCCACAATCTCCATCTGTGTCACGTCCTGCGCCATGCAGAGCAGGGTGCAGAACCCGCCTGGACGCGGAATGACACCTTCAAGGTGGACCTTCGAAGGTCTTCGGGGACCTGCGCAGATATATCAATGGCCTGCGAGATATATGGGTCCAATGCACATGATCTCGCTTAGGTCGCGTACTTTGTATAACTAGTAGATTTAGAACTATAGTTAGATAAAGGTTTATAGTTTAGTTTGAATATATACGTAGTACTAGTATAATTGCTTCGTAGTAGTAATTCGTATTATATATACTATTAGCCGTGCTAAGCGCCCAACACCAGGTCCCCTGGTGTTGGTGCGCCCCACCAAACATAAAATTCCCACCAAACACAAAATCTTCACTTTTTTATCACCTTTGCACCTATTTTCTACCCTACCAGGCTACCACGATATCAAATTGAATCAAAAAAAATGGAAAACCAAATCTAGTAAGCAATCTAGGCCTTTACTAAGGCTAAGAAGCCTAATATATCCTAATTAGCGCGGGAATTCGACGTTCCCTACTATCGACTATAGGCTAGGATTTATAGCTACTAGACCTATACCGACCGTACTATACTAACTAGATTATTAAATTTAATTTAAGAAAATGTACTTATTAATTAGGTTAAAACCCTAGATAATACGTATACCTTACTTACTCTAGATATAGTAGAATATACTGTCAAAGTGCAGGGTTGCATACATGGATTTACATGGTATTATACCATGGAAGGTTATGTAATCAAGCTTAGTCATTACCGCACAGAAACAGCAGTTTCTATTATGTAGAAAATGCTGAGTTCTCCATATCAGCCCTGAGGTGCATACATATCAATACGTCAGATTTCTGTCAGTTATGAGCCCGGCTTTGTTCTATTAAAACATTAATTCAAAGATCAACCCTGCTTCCAATCGATACTGAGGTAATCAACCTAGCGACGAAGCAACCCCTGAATCGAAGAAAGAATCGGAAATCTGTCTAAATCATGGCCGATTATCTCTCCGCGGGTTCATCCTCCCGCGTTATCCTTAAGGACACCGAAACTTAGGATATATAGATCGCCAATATCGAATCGATTGTAGTGCAATTTGACGTTTAGGAGCTATATAATCCTAGTAAAGAAGAAGAACCGGAGATACGGAAAGCTCCGGCGGAGATTATATCGATAGAAGAAGTAGAGAAAAAGTATAGCGATAATTAGGTCGATACTTATAAAGTAATTCAATCGAACTAGTCGATAAAGAATATATTTTATACCTAGGAAAAGAAGGGATTAAGTATAATTATAACAGTAATCCGGAATAGCGTTTATATAAACTTCTAGCCGTTTATTATATGACAGAAATCTGACGTATTGAAATGTATGCACCTCAGGGCTGATATGGAGAACTCTACATTTTCTACATAATAGAAACTGCTGTTTCTATGCGGTAATGACTAAGCTTGATTACATAACCTTCCATGGTAGGTATAATACCATGTAAATCCATATATGCAACCCTGCACTTTGACACACCCCCAGCTCTTAAAGCCTGCATTTTCCTAGCTTTCAAGAGCTACCAATTCCTTCATTTCTTCACTTCGTCTGGATGAATCAGATGCCTGATTTCTCTCATCCTAATCATCTCTCGGAAGAGATGCTACTTCTATCTTAGAAGCGCCTTTGTAAGTCTATCTGTAGGTATCGCTATAGTTAGAACCTAGTCTACTTTAACTCTACCTATACTAACTTCCTACTTTATCTAGGATCGATTGATATCTATATACTATAGCTTTGTATATATCGTCGATCCTTCCTTCGTTAATAGATCGACTATCTACTAATTGTCGTATATAATAGATAAGGGATAATCTAGTTAGAAGCCTAGTACTTTAAGGACTCGGCGCTATTATTAGATAGTTTTTCCGGCTTCTATTAGAGTAAGAAGCTCTACCTTAGTTATCGATATTATTACCGTCTTTTACTTCGATACTTTCTAATCGATTAGACTACTATATAACTTATAGATATATCCTTCCGAACTCTTCCTATCTTTATTATCTCCGAAAGACGTATCGCTTATAAATTTAACTAATTTTATAGCGAATTAGAGACCCTTTAATCCTTCTAAACCGAGGTTTTTATTTTATTATTTAGTACTATACTTAATAGTCTAGAATCTAATTTTATAGAGATATTAAATTACTCGGTCGATAGTATCGATATACTTTAGATTAGGATTTATTAAGAACTTAGCTAGTTTAGCTATAGCCTTTAAAATATCTAGCTAGGAGATAGTAGTAGTATACTAAGTAGATCTAATCTTAGCCTAGAAACTATAAATCTAACTTAGTAATACTACTTTATTATATAGAAAAAGCTAATCGGTAGTAGCTAATAGAGATCTTATCTTCCTAGTAGTAATTAAGTTATATTTAGCTACTATACTCTTAATATAACTATCTTAGTATAGCTAAAGTTTTATCTAATTTCTATCTTTAATAATATAGATATTTAAAAATTAGTTTACTTCTAGTTCTCGTAATTCTTATTATTTCTTAATATCGTTATCTAATTTAGCTACCTATTTAGTATAATAAAGATCTAGATAGTTTATAATAATAATATCGTTTATATAAAAGAAGATAATAATATTATTCTTAATAAAAATATATAGATCTTTTAATACCGAGATAAGATCTAGCTTTATTAATATCCTTATTACTTCTTATTATTATAATCTTAGTAATATTTATAAGCTATAGAGAGCTCTATAGAGTAGCTAGTATTAATCTTATACTTTAAATCTTTATAGATATTTAGTATAAACCTTACTTTAGAGTACTAAATTTAGGAATATAGTAACTATATCTCTTTATATTATATTAAGATCGAATACTATTATTAAGATAAAGATAGCTCTCGTTATTTTAATAACTAAGATAGCTACCTTTTTCTCTTCTATCGATATCTATTAAAGATTACCTCTAATATAGATTCTCGCTTTAAACTTCTTAAGAAATCTATCTATATTAAATTTATAGATAAAGACCTATTTTAAAAATAGTACTTAGATTCCTCTTTAATTTAGAATTAGTACCTTAGTATAAGTCTCTTTCTTCTTAAGCGTCTAAACTTCGAAGCTTACCGCTACTATAAATCCTTCTCCGAATTAGTACTTTTTAATCTATATCTAGTTCTCTAGTAACGGGGGAAGTTTATCTTAGTAAAGCTTCTTATCGAATCTTTTACTTATATATATAGAGAAGGTATAAAGTAAGCTTAGTAGATTATTTTAATTATTATCGAGAGATAGATATATAGTATAATCTAGATCCGTCCTTAGTCTCCTAGATCTACTTCCTATAATAATATTTAATATATCGATATCTCTAGATATATCTCTCGGTACTCTTTAGGATAATAAAGATACTTAGAAGGACGCTCGATAGGATAATAATAATACTTAGGAGGACGCTCGATAGGACGACGATAATAGTACCGGTAAGTATACTATTTCCCTTTATAACTATCTCTCTATCTCTACTTCGTTATTACTTACTTCTATATCTATATCCCTACCTATCCCCTTAGTTTCGATCGATAGGATTATAAAGATCGGATCTAGCGACGATAATAGTGCTTCTCTAGATTCTAGATTCGATAGAATTAATAGATTTAGGGATACTAAGGCTAGTTTTAATAGAATCGGAGGGTTTAATAATAATATTAATAATCTTAATAGCCTTAATAATAGTAGGGAGGATAGTATATCTAGGAAGCTTCCTAGTAGGCCTCTCTATAGATTTGTTTACTCTCTTATTATTTACTCCTTTAGTCTAATCTCCCCTAGTCTAATTATTAACCGCGGGGTAGGTAATCTAGTTACTTCCTTTCTAACCTATAGTAGGGTTCTCTACCTAATCTCTTTATTATCTTTATTATCTATATTAACTATAGTATTAGCTATATTATTAGCTATATTATTAGCTATATTAACTATATTAACTATATTATCTCTAGCTTACTTAGTATACTTAGTTTTATTATATAGTACTATCTTAGCTATCGATCTAGATATCTCTATCTAGGTACTAATCTTAGCCTATATTTTATTATTAGTAAGTACCTATAGCTATATACCTAGTCTATCTATTATAGTACTAATAGTATCTTCTTCTTTAGGTATCGATTTTAAATACCTCCTTAATTTATCGAAAATAGTATCTCTAATAACGTCTATCCTTC